TGTAGATCAGGCTGGACTTGAACTCACAGAGATCTGCCTGCCTCTGCCTCTGCCTCTTGAGTGCTGGGATTAAAGGCATGTGCCACCACACCCGGCCTGAAGCAGTTTTAACGGTAATCCCAAAGTCTAATCAAAAAGTCTGTAGGGCTTTTCCCCTGCCTTTTCCATTGACAGGAAGCATGGCTAGTGGCCATAAAACCTAAGCCTCTCTCTTTTTTCTCGCCAGTCACTCCCCTAGAGGTAGATGAAGCCTGAGAGTGAGCAACACCTCTGCCTGACCAAGCCAGCCCAGCAGCGTTGTATCCAGTCATTCTTCAGACCTGAGACGGCAGGGTTGGGTGAGTGAAAGGTGGAAGCCAGGGCATCTTGAGCCTCTAAGCCAGCTTCTCCTTTCCAACTGCGGTAATTCACAGAGCTTAGTCACAATTCATTTCAGGCCTTAGAAAGTTCACCTAACAAGGTGTCTAGAGTCAATAAGGGCACCTTCCTAGTTTGATTTCTAACTGCTCCACAGGAGACATACAGATACGCAGGAAAAACAACCTGAAAGAACTTTTTTGACAGCAGCACTTACTCCTTCCTATGACCTGAAAGACTGAAGGAACACAGGGACCCACATGACAGGAAGCATTGCTGAGAAACCGCACTCTTCCAGCTCAACACATGTGATTATTGATTGACTGCAGGGCAGGCCTTTACCTCCACCCCACAAAGGCTGCTTAATGACAGCCCTGTGGAGCTTTATGTGACAAGATCTACCACAAAGCCTAGTACAAGTGCTTTTTATGCTTTGACTCAGCAATATCACTTCCAGGAATTTGTTATAGGAATGTATTTGCACATGTACAAAAAGATGCTATGTGTAGCTGTTCACTGATGAATTATAGTATCATGCCACTTTGTACTATAACATACAAGAGCTAAAAAATTGGAGATAACTCAATTTTCAGTTTAACAGACATTTTGAAGTTGTTAAATCGATGTGTCCAGTAATGTGGGTTTTTTTAAAATGAGGTATAGTGTATCCACATTAGAGTGTATTACAGTTGTGAAAGAAAAAATGAAGCCACTTTCCACATATTGGGTAGGGAAATGTCTCGAAGGGGAGTAAAAGGATACGCTGTCGCACTTGCAAAGGAAAACAGAGAAATGTCTATGAACCTGTGAGAATTAGGGTACACACAATGCAGGGGTGACATGAGACAAGGTAGCATGTCGTGGGCTTTGATTTTTGAACTATATGAATTTATAATTGATTGAAACCTCGTAATGCAGCATAGCACATCATAAAGACATTGTTACCATGTTCCAGTCAAGCTATAGGAAAGTCAAGTTGTTTCCAGTTCTTTATCACAAACAACATTGCTAGCAACAGCTTTTTAGTGAAACCTTTACCTGCTTCATTCATTGTTTACATAGGATGGCCGTAAAAAATGAACTTCCAGCTAAAGATGCTTTCTTTGAGGCTTTCTACATGAGCTGAGAATTATGCTGAGAATCCGTACACCTTTTTTTCATGCTTTATTTTTTTAACAATGTTTACTCATGTAACCCTTGTAAACCTTGTAAATCTTCTTCCCAAAAGGAATTACTTTCAAGAAGAACAATTTGAATGTAAAAAGCAACTTAAAAGGAGCTATCTGAAAATCGTCAATGTGTTTACAAGCCCTGTCCTGGTTAGATTTTTACTGTCGACTTCACACAACCTACAGATACCTGGGAATAAGGAGTCTCAGTTGAAGAATTTCCTTGATCAGATTGGCCTGTGACCATGCCTGTGAGTTTCTTTCTTGATTGACAGTTGATATAAGAGGGTCCAGTCCACTGTGAGCATCATTCCTAGGCAGGTGGCCTTGGGCTTTACAAGAAAACCAGCTAAGCATAAGTCTTCAAGAAAGCCAGTAAACATCGTTCCTCTATGGTTTCTGCTTCAAGGACCTGCCTTGAATACCCTAGCTTCTCTCAATGATGGATTGTAACCTAGAAACGTGAGCCAAATAAACCCTTTCCTCCCCAGGATGCTTTTGGTCAGAATGTTTTATCACAGCAACAGAATGAAACTAGAACACTGCTTTAAGTAATAGAGGTAGTATATATACTATATTAAAATTAGTATATAGTATATCACTGTTTGTAATATACTTTTAAAGCCTTGTCTAATGCAACAGAATGAAACTAAAACAAGCCCTTCCTAGTTTCCTAAGCTCTTCCTACTCCCTAGACACCAACAAATATTCTGAATACTGTGGTGGTAGGGAGGGGTGACTAAAATGGAATTCAATATGGCAATTTCAGACTCACCCAACAATTCAGCCTTCCACTTTAGTAGCTAAATATCCATTAGAGATGTTATTCCGAGGTAGCATTAGCCCACTCCAATTCCCTGAATTAATAAGGGAGTGGCTTCCAGAGAACATATTTTATGATTCCCAGAGGAATGTGATGGTTCATCTCCCAGAATTTCTCATGTTGGAAATTTTGTCCTCTGTGATGATATGAGATAATGGGACCTTCAAGAGGTGGGATCTACAGGACGGACCTAGGTCTTTTGGGACAAGTCCTTGGAAGGGACTAATGTGTTTCTCCTGGGACCTCAGTATTGTCATGTGACTTCTCTGCCTCACACAAATGTGCCAAATGAATTTCTTTTCTTTATCAAGTATCCAGCCTCAGGTACTTTGTTGCAGTAAAGAAAACTGACTAATGAGCAGCCATCCAGATATAATATTTTCAAAACAATATAGCTGTTGAATTTTTATTATTTATGCCCCACAAATACATTCAAATATACAACCTTCTGGCCTCAAATTAAGTCTTCTTTCCTTGTCTATCCATTTTCTTCACATTCATTGCAACTACTAAGGCCTTTCCCTGTTCAAGGATCTATATCAACTTCAGTCTATGGTTCTTCTGTGTTTCCTTTTGCCTTTCCCCCTCTCTCTCAGAACTGTATTACAGAATTCAGCTAAGCTTCTTCCACCTAGAAAGACTTCAGAGAAAAGATCTTTTTAACTGATAACCTGAGAAGTTGCTTTGATTGCATGAGTTCATTGATAATTGTCATCTTACCTGACTAAGGAATTGCCACTTTCTCACTTGCCAGCTTATGAGCCAAAGTCAGGGCATAAAAGTTGTCTCAATCATGTACTGAAAAATCTTCAACCTTTCAAAGTTCTACCCACCCGACCCAGGATGCTGGGGTGGCTGCCATGACTGCATGTCCCAGCCAACGGACAATCATGAAGCATGTTCTCCATGCCTTCACAGCACCCCTGCTCATTAACACAGCATGTATCCATTCTCCCCCACCTCACTTCCTGTGTACATCACTTCTGTTTTCCAGGACCCCATAAACTACCTGCACTAAAAATTTGTTTTGGAGTCTTCTTGAGGAACTGAACTAAGATGATTCCCCACAGCACTTCAGAGCTTCCCTTGTCTGCCTGGTGCCTGTGCTATTCCCCATCAGAGCATGACTCCACTTGTCTCCCTGGTGCCCCACACTATTTCCCATCAGAACACAGTTGCCATTGTCTGCCTAGGGACATCTTCCCATTTCCCAGACAAACCTATTCTGTTGAGGTCAGGACTTCAAGCTATTAGGATGATATCCATGGGTTTCCAGATTTGTGTGAACTCAACCCTGCCCTAGATCTCAGAGGATGTTGTAAAAGCATCAAAGGGTCCTAAGCATCTGTTTGTCCCGTAAAAGGTATGGACTGATGGGTATAGTCCAGGAGGGATGCAATTTTCAACTGAATTTGATGAGCAAGTATCAACCCTTTGAAACAGTGACTCAAAGAGTATGTCCAGGATCTGTAACTGGCCATAGCATCAGCCCCCTTGTCAATCATTCTCTGGTCTAGAGGTTGCCCTGACTAGCACCAGCCAAACCATAGTGTTTACCTTGTGAGGAAAGCAGAGAGCTGGATCTCCTGCCTCTGATCATGGAGGGGAGATGACTGGACAGTGGCTTAGCTTTGAATATATGGGACACACAGAACCACAAACTGCCTCATCCCCAAAGACTTCCAAAAGTTTGAATGGGAAGTTTAAATTGGCAGTCCAGTGGCCTGCCTCCCTTCTAGAACATGATTGCCTTGGCCAACATAAACTTTTCGCTTTCACTAGTCCCACAGAGTACTTTTTAAAGTTCCTGATTTCTGGAAATCAAAATCGGTCTGAATCCACTGGAAACAAAGTAGGGGATCTGGAGCTCCTGAACCCACCGGAAACAAAGTGGGGGCCCTAGAGTCTCCAAGGATAGGCAAAGCAGCTGACCTGGGTTGTCCCTGAATAGCCAAGTAATGTGACAGGTAAGGTCATCTCGGAGCTCCGCGAGGACGTCAGTGTTGGAGCTTTGCACAAGGCAAGCTGCAGAGCCGCCGCTACCATTTCCAGCTTCCTCCCTTGCTTCACCACCTCTTAACGCCCTCGTTGCAGTATGGGGGCCTCCATTGCATCACCTCTCAGAGAAATGAGGCTGCACCCCAAGCTTGCAGAGGGCGCAGATGCTGACAATGGGCGCGCGCGCACACACACACACACACACACACACACACACACACACACACACACTCAGATATCAGCAGAGTGAACTGGGAAGAAGCCACAGTCAGCTGAGGACAGTGCTCCGTCTTTGGAATCACACCACCCGCACCTGGCTGCTGAGGTCCGGTGCACACCCGGGTGCAAGGGCTTGAAAAGCAGGATGAGGGCGGGTCCCGCAGTCTGAGACCCCAGCCGGGATGCTGGTGTCTGGAACCCACCTTCAGCTGGGGCTTGAAGGCCGGCGGGGACCCTAGGCGGAGTCGAGCGTGGGGAGGGGCGGGACACGCAGGGCTGGGTCCCGGGCTGTGTGAGGAGCTGCCCCGAGCGAGCAGCGACTCCAGAGAACCAGGACGCACTGGAGTCCCGCGCTGAGAGCACAGAATAAGCCCGGGCGCTCAGAGCCCAGGCCAGGGCAAGGCGGGTCCCCAGGGACTGAGCCCGCGGAGCCGCGCCCACCTACAGCTGTGCGCTGCTGCTCCGGCCTGCGGAACCCAGGAGGGGCCTGGCAGGTGAGTGTCGGGTCGCCGCCGGCCGACTCCTCAGGGGGCGTCTCCCGGGAGCCCGGCTGTGGCCACAGCTGCTACCCAGAGGCGCGGGGGGGGGGGGGGGGGGGGGTGCGCCGGCGATCCCTACTCCAGGGATGCGCACGGAACGAGCTGGCTGGCTCCAGCGGGGTGCGTGGGTTCCAGGAGTTTCCCTCTGGCCTCCCACACCCTCCCGGGACGACCCCGGGACTGAAGACCGGGGCTGGGCACTGGGGACTGGGGACTGATTATTGGGAACCGGGACTGAGCCCTGGGAACGGGAACTGGGGACTGAGTACTGGAGACCGAGACTGAGCACTTTGGACTTGGACTAGGGACTGAGTACTGAGTACTGAGCACTGGGGACCGGGACTGAGTGCTGGTGACTGGGACTGGGAACTGGGGACTGAGCACTGGGACTGGGGACGGAGTACTGAGCACTGGGGACCGAGACTGGGACTGGGACTGGGACTGGGAGCCAGCGGGGAGTCGAGCAGCCGCCAGGGACGCGGGCTGAAAGTGAACGGAGGAGGGCGAAGTTGTCCGCGCAGTTCGCGCCCGGCAGCATCCTCCCAGTCCAGGGTTCTCGTCCCAGCTTGTATTTCTGGCTGCATTCCGCCCAGGAGGCACCTCCTGAGACCTCGCGGGCGTGGGCAGCCGGAGCGTGCTCTCCCTGGGAGTCTGCGGGAGTTGACCCAGACTCTGTACCGTCGCGGTGGCTGTCTGCCGGAGTCTCGCGTGAGACCCAGAGGCCACCCAGAGGTAGGACACCAGGGTGCTGACTGGACTTGGGCCCCACTTGGAGCAGCCGCCGAGGGGAGTGCTGCAATCTGGGGCTCTGCCAGAGTGGTAGTCCCTGACCCTGGCGCTCTCCCTGCCTTCACAAGATCAGACAAAACCCAGTGGGTCCTGTTCACTCACTTCCTGCTACCAGTGTCCTCCATCCCCACACTTGAAGCTTGCAGGTGTGCGTGGCGGGGGCGGGGGGGGAGGCAGTTCACCCTCGTGAGACCTTGGGGGTCAAGGCTCTTCTGGCCACTGGAGACCCCTTGTACCCTGAGGAGCCCTATCTCCTTGGTGGGGTGGGGAGCAGTACTTTAGAGATTTGATTCCCTCTCCCTCCTGTGGACATCTTGAGACAGCAAAAACAAAAAGGACTTCTCCTGCGATGAAGGTCAAGGATGACACCCCCCCCAGATGACCTGTCATCAGAAGCCTAGTACAAAACCTAACAAGACCTGTATCCTCCTAGGCAGAGTCGGCTCTGGGTGGGGAACTGGGAGCCTGGGGAGGGGTTCAGGATTAGATCCAGAGCCTTGGGAGCAACTTGAGGAGACAGGATTTCCTCTAGGGCAGGGCTTTAGCTTTTCCCACTCGGGACCCCTTTTCACCCTAAGAAATTTTTACATCACTGATATGCAAGTGCCCTAAATAGGTGTATATATATATATATATATACCTGAAAGTGAATCATAAAGAAATTTGTCTTAAAATAATTCTTTGTTATACATATAATTCTACCATTCATTAAAGAGAAAAGCTAATTTGTATACTAATGATGCGAATTGCTTTATTTTTACATAAAGAAATCATAGCTGAATATTTGATACTGCAGGGCATAGAGCATCCTCAGTGTTTTTCAGAGTTGATTGACATTTTGCTCTTAAAGCTGTCAGTGCTGAAAATGCCACTTCACGTACATATCTAGTACAAACAGCAGAAGGGATTTTAGGGCCACATCAGAAACTGTTGGAAATCTGTTCTAATCCTAAACCAAAATTCTTTTAGTGATATTTTAAATGAAACTCAAGTCGGCTACTCAAATAGTGATTTTTCTAAAGATTTATTTTATTTGATTTACATATTTATGTCTGTGTTTCTTGGGGGTTGGGGGGAGCATGCCCTTGGAGGCCAAAAGAGGGCATCCAGCCCTAGGAGCTGGGGTTACAAGGAGTTGTGATCTGCCTAATGTTGGTGCTGAGAACCGAACTCAAACACTGGTCCTCTGCAAGAGCACCAAGTGCTCTCAACAGCTAAGCCATCTCTCCAGCCCCTCAAGCAGCAATTTTTAAATAAAATATTCTAGCACAATAAACCCAAAGATATACTAATTTGCAGCTGAATGAGGTGGCCCATGCCTGTAATCCAGCTAGGAGGGAGATCCAGGCAAAAGGATCAGGAATTTAAGGCCAGCCTCACCTACATAGTAAATTCAAGATCAGCCTAAGTTACATGAGACCCTGCCTCAGAAATAAAACAAACTAAAAAGACATAGTATTAAAGTCTATTCTGGGAGCTGGAGAGATGGCTCAGCTGTCAAGACACTGGCTACTCTTGCAGAGCACCCAGGTTTGGTTCCCAGCACCTATATGGTGGCTAACAACAATCTGTAACTCAAGTTCTAGGAGATCCAACACCCTCTTCTGGTCTCCATGAGCATTGCATAACATGGGCACTTACATACATGCAGGCAAAACACTCATACAACAAAAATATTTTTTAAACTCTTAATTTTCCATAATTAAACCATTATGTTTCTAGAAGAGTGGGAAGCTTTGTATGTTCAGTAAACTGCAGTTCATAGCACCTCACAGTCTCAAGTCTGAGGCAAAGTGTTTCAAGCATTGTTTGTTGGTATTGCGTAGCATGATGCCACAGTGCAAAGTGCACATGTGTGTTCAGAACAACCAATGCAGTCAAGTCTCCAGATGCAATAGGGTGAGGTCAGAAAAGCCTTGGATTATTTGTCTTTGATTATTTCCTAGTTATTCAGAAACCTTTTACTATTGTCCAACTTTTGCAGCCCCCCACATTCAACTGTGCAACCCACAGTTAAAGAAACTGGGTTCTATAGCTCCTTCCCAAAGAACGGGGAGCAACAGGAGAGTCCCTCCCACTCACAGCCTCTCGCCCACAGCATCCTGACTGAGAACCCTGTCATTCACTCAGCAGATTCCAGGCCAGCCTTTGTGCCAGGGTCTGAAGAGGGATTGGAAAGTAACGACAGTCAAACTAGCACTGTTACCTGGGAAAAATACAAAGGTGGATATTTTCCCTTGAGTTTTATAGAGAGTCTAATCTGTCCTGCGCCCTGAGCGGGGAGGGCCTCTTCGTTTCCAGTGTCTTGTCTCCTCCCTTGCCTCCTGTCTGTCAGTGGGTGTGGTTGAACTGCACCCAGGAACTCTGGGGGAATGCTCCCAGATCTGATGTATGCTGTCCACTGATTGTATCTCCTCCCAGATTCTGCATCAAGGATGTCAGCAGGGAACTACAATCATTGACCTGGTGAGAGCAAGTAATCCAGACCCGCAGTTCAGTGCTGAGCTACACACGTACCTCCCTGACACCACACCACCTGCAGGCCTCAACATGGCAACCCAGAACAGAAACACTAGTTTCGTACCCAACTTTAATCCGCCCCAAGACCACGCCTCCTTGCTCCCCTTCAACTTCAGTTATGGTGACTATGACCTCCCTCTAGACGAGGATGAGGATGTGACCAAGACTCGAACGTTCTTTGCAGCCAAGATCGTCATTGGTGTGGCACTGGCAGGCATCATGCTGGTCTGTGGCATTGGCAACTTTGTCTTTATTGCTGCCCTTGCCCGCTACAAGAAGCTGCGCAACCTCACCAACCTCCTCATCGCCAACCTGGCCATCTCTGACTTCCTGGTGGCCATCATCTGCTGCCCCTTTGAGATGGACTATTATGTGGTACGCCAGCTCTCCTGGGAGCATGGTCACGTGCTTTGTGCCGCCATCAACTACCTTCGTACAGTTTCCCTCTATGTCTCCACCAATGCCCTGCTGGCCATCGCTGTGGACAGGTGAGGATGCTGGGCACGGGTGGAGGACAGGAGCCAGCAGGGCTGCTCTTTCCTCCCTTCATCAATGTGAATGGTCATTGATCTGTGGAGAGGCTAGAGGAGATTGTGTCTCTAGCTGTGTTCTGTTCCCCCCAAATTTGAACAAGTAGAAAGCTTGTGAGTGTCACAGCTCTGGGGTGCATTTGCTTTTGGTGCAGGCATGTCATGTGGCCATACATGGCATCAAAGACAAAGGCCAAAGCAGAAATTTCAAGCAGCAGCTACTTTGAAACCGTGAGAGAGTTAACCAGAGTGGCTCCTGTCAAGACAATAGGTCCCAAGTTTTACCTGTGGTCAGATCAAGATACAAAACTTCCCATTGCTTAGAAAACTTCCTGTGTACCTTAGCAGTCAACCCTCTCGCCTTCAGTAATCACTGATCTGATTTCTGTCATTATAGCTTAGTCCTGTCTACTGTCTAACAACTTCATAGCGAAGGAACCGTACAGTATGTAGATTTGCTTCAGGTGACTCTGCTGAAGAGCCGATTTTAAAAATAAGATAGCAGTTTGTTTACAAGAAAGAGGGAAGGACATGCTTGTGTTTGCTTTGCATACATCTGTGTGCGTATTTGCATACATTTACATAAGATGTTCCAGAAGTCCTTGCTCTATCACAAATTTTGAAGGTAAAATTTATAATAGCAGGCAATGAGGAATCTTGCATGTTTCATTTACTTGAACAGTTTCAGGCCAGGGTGTCATCACCAGAGGCCATGGAGGTCGGCATCACAACTTTTTGATTAATTCACACTTTTGAGCTACACTGAGACTCATTCTAATAATGTGCTTCATATCTTGTTCCCTTTGATCTTCTGCTCGTCAAGTTTTCCCTTATTCTAAGTACTGCTTAGTGGTTTTTAATATACCAGTTAATTATTTTTTGGTTATATTAATAAAAGACACAGGAACAAAGTATAGCTCCCTTTTTTATAGCATGATACCTGCAGAAAAGGCAGTTTTATTACAACTTTGAGGCTTTCCAGAAACCAGGTTATGAAATGCAAAATATCAGTTACTACAGTGACAGAGTATGATTCCTGGGCTTCACCGGCCTGAGTCTTCTGAATGGGAAGCCAGGAATGTGTATTTTTATTCAGTTTCTCAAGTGATTCTAGTGCTTGGTGAAGTCAGAGTGATCACTCTTCCAGCCTGATCCACTGTAACCTTTCTGTTTCTGACGTTATTTGCTTTGTCTTGTGGTTTGAGATACTGGAGCTTGGTAGGAGGCGATCACCCCTCACACAGACAGCAGAGGTTTCGTTCTCACCCCAGCCAGCTCGGTCCCAAGCAGTTTTCCTCACTCCACCAGTAGCGCCGCTACCCTCCCAGTGACCCAAGCAAGAAAATGGCCATCATCCTCTGCCTTCTTTCTGTCCCTCACCCACTAACCCCACCCTTATGTTCAGTTCTAGCTAAGTCTGGCATCTGTCTCTCCAGCCTTCCCACTTGGTAAGTCATGACTAGACACCACGATGCTCTACCAACCTGTCTTTTGCTTCCTGGGAACCCCTGCCCATTCCCTGAAATCCATGCTCATTTGTATAATGCATCCTAGCATTGATGGCTTTTCCTAAGACATTCATTCCATTACTTATAAAATCTCTGTGAGTCTCAATGCCACAGAATACAAATCTTGCGTCTAGCTTTATGGCGCCTTTATAACCCAGTGCCAACCTGTCCTTCTAAATTCACATTCTGTACAGATATACAGATGGTCCTTCCCCAAAGACAGTATTTTTAAGTATAATTATCCTCTCCTGTCTTTCTGTCTCCGTAGTGCTTAGGACAGGGCCTTAGGCCTATGTCTTAGTTTGTAACTATTTGTATTATTCCCCCCACCCCAAATACTCTTAGACAGGGGATTCATGTGCAGGCAGCACCAGGAACCTAGAGGGGAATGAGACGGGAGAGCAGTGAACACAAGGTGCATCCTTAAAGCTTCCAGGGTAAGGGAATGCAGCTGATTCCTGCTGAGGAACTCTTGGAGCAGGTGTGGATCACAGCTCAGAGTTCTCCTAGGAGCGGGAAGAGAGGCTGCTCTGAAAATTCTGGACAGGCCAAGAGGACTCTGGAAGCCAGAAAAGGCCCTCAGACAACAAAAAAAAATGCAGGTGTTGGCAGGTAGGTATGCCCAGGTGTGCACTGGAGTGACAGAACAAAGGGGTGTGAGAAAGGCTCTGGTGGCACCTGCCGATAGGTCCACAACAGGTTTGTGGGTCCTGTATGTCCAGACTATGTGTATGGAAACACAAGCAGTAATGACAAGGTTCTTCACCCCAGGAAGCTTTTTTCCAGGCAGACACTAGGAATTATGAAACGCTGAGAATAATAAAGATACACTGATTCATAAATGCTAGCTTTTTCAAAGATGGGCAGAGTCTTACTATGTAGTCCAGACTGTCCTTGAACTCATAATTCTCCTGCTTCAGGTTCCTGAGTGCTAGGATTACAGGTATTCCCTCCTAAACCCAGACTTACTGTACTTGCTGATAGAGGGACTATATGGAGAGGGAGCCTTTCTCACTGGGGTATTAGGGAGAGACAGGAGTGCATCTAGCAAGCACAGAGGAACTCATGGGCAGGCATTTGAAGTCCTGTAAGACTCAAAGATGTCAAGGCAGCATATGGAGCTTCAGGCCATAGACTAGAGGAGCCTAGTAAATTGCACCCTACTCCCCTCATCAGGCTCCAAGCCAATTAAAAAAAGAAGACAAATGATCAAAATGGTGGATCAAATTCCCACCTTTTCCTGATGATGCTGATTTTAGAAAATTGGTCTTTTACTGGGGCCATGTGGAGTGGCTTTTCCTGGGACAAGTTTTCATTCACCTCAGAGATGCAACTTAAGTTTGTTGTGAGTTTCATCAGATTCATAAGCTGCTCCCTCCCTCCACAAAAGGATACTTTAGTCTGGAGTAAACGGCAGCATGGTATGGCACAAAGACCACTCATGCTCAGCCTTTGTACCCTGGAGAAACACAAGCTCCACCTCTGCCCCTGTGCACATCATCTACTATTCAGCCAGATATGCCTGCACTACTCTAGAAATAGCCAGAGGGCCACCTCATGCCTTTGTATGCCGTACCCAGAGCATAGTCAGGCTCGTGAAGAAAAGTTGCCGCTTCAAGTTGTAGAGAGTTGAAGGAAATCACTGGCCTCAGGAAGCACACTGAAGCAGATGGATGGCCACAGAGACCTTGCAGACATCTCTCTTGCCAACAAATGAGTCACAGGAAATGATCAGCGTAAGCAAAGTACCGTAACTTCTATCATACATTATGTATGTTTACTTTCTTGGATGCTGACAAAAATCCTGATCGATTGCCAATAAAATCATTATTATCCCATTTTACAGATGCAAAAACTAAGTCCCAGGAGCATAAGTTACTTACCTAAATATCCAGTGTAGGGAGAGGTCTTTTGAATATCCCTAAGCCAGCGCTCATTTCTTTCTGATTTATTTGATGACAGCTCTGAGTTTCGGAACTGTCCTATGGAGTGAGGAAGTGTACTGGATGACAAGGAATTTGAGTGTAAGAGTTGACAACAGAATAAGCAATGTGAAATTTTGGGGGTTGTTGTGAGTGGTGGGATGAGATTGAGAGTACCACATTATCTAAAAACTTCGGATTTGGTGCAGTAGGCAAAAATGACACCCCAACATAAAATGCCACATCTCAGTCCCCAGAACCTGTGATTATGCTATACTACATGCCAAGGGGAACCAAAGTAACACATGGAATTAAGGTTTCTAATCAACTAATGTTAAAATAGAGACTATACTGGATAATTTAGGTGGAACTAATTAATTGCAAAGGTTTTTAACTGTGGAGGGGGCGGGCAGAGTGTCAGTGATCCTATGTGAGCGAGACCCCACTGGTCATTGCCGGCTTTGAACAAAGACGTTATGAACCAAGAAATATAGGCAGCTCTAGAAGGGGTGAAAACAAAACAACGAAACCCAGACAGACAAACAAAACATCCCACAGAGATGCTGTAGAGCCACCAGAAGGAATGCCACCCACTGGCACCTTGATTTTATCCAGTGAACACTGTCAGATTTCTGACTTCCAAAGCTGTAGTACAATAACTTGTCATTTCAAGCTACTACATTTACAGCAGGAAACTGACTCACCCAGTCATCCCTGAGAGATGGTGACTGTGAGATACCCCTGCCCCAGTCGAGGGCGAGTGCCCATTTGTCCCCTTTCCAGCCCCATGATACTTGTCCACCCAGCCAACTCAGTGCAAGTCCACATGGCACAGCCAGATCACACAGATGGGCAAAGAGCTCTAGCAGTCACTGTTGTTAATACACCCCACTGGGGAGCTAGCTGCCAGTGCCTCAGGATTTGGAAGGTCTCAAGCCAGGAAGCCATGCTGCCATGGGCTTTTCCAGTGGAAATGAGTCAGAGCCACCAGCCAGCAGAGACGGGCAAGAGAAGATCGTGCAAACACTACAAGTACAGGAAGCAGTAACATGGCAGGCCTTGCTGAGCCAGAGACCTGGAAAGATGACCAAAGGGTCTGGCTAAAGAAAAGGTAAGGAGGGCAGAATGTTCTACAGGTGTCTTCCTGCTCTCGGCCCCACATGACTCAAGCTCTGGGTTTGGGGCACATACACATGTTTACTTCCAGGGTTGATTTGTTTCGTACCTACCTCTCTTGCCTCTTATCTTCCCCACTTTCCCTACCACCTTCCTGCCCCCTCCAAATGCACAGAAATTATTCCAAGACTAAAACATCTAAACAGCTATCATTTCATTTCATTCCTCTGGAAAGAAGGCAACCTGCATGAGTGAGCCCGTTTTCCACAAAGGGTTCTGGCTTCTTTCCTGAGCAGTGTGGCTCATTGAAAAGAACAGAGTTCAATAAAGCTTTAAGGTATCATGGTGGGGTGACTTCACACACAACTCATTTGAGTGTGAAATGGCGTAGGGAATTGGTGTGAAAGCCTGTAGCAGGAGCGCCTTCTGGTGTCTGCAGGACAGGAATGTGGGCATGGCATTTATTTCTCATTCCACCGCCTCTGTAATGCAGACTGACATCTAGCAGGAAGGGGAGACGTGTGCCGGCTGAGCAGTATCCACACCTCTCTGAGTACACAGCTCTTCTTTCACCTCAGGTCATAAAGTATTTGGAACGCAGAGCTTTAAGAGCATTGTGTTCATGGGCAGGATGGCAAGATTGAAAACCCAAAGGGTATCATAGTACAGTTAACAATAATGGGCTATGTGTGTCCATTGCAAGCTACTCACACATTTACAGCTTATTATATTTAATATTCACAGCCATCCTGCAAGCTAAGTTCCATTTTATTCCAGGATGCTTGTGTAGGGAAATGAATCTCAGGGAGAATGGGTAATTCCCCAGATCCTTGCACCCTTCGGGGGAAAAGCCAGGATGTGTTTGACCCGAATCCTGTACTGTTTCCATTAAATCATTACTCCAAATGCCAAATGGTGTTGCTAATGACTTGAAGCTAAAGCTGAATGGTAAGCACCTGGGGATTCATGGTGCAGGTATGAGGCTGTTGTGTGTGCCCTGGGCTGGTTAAAACCAATTCACACTCAAGTACACATCATTGCTGACTTTCCTCTCCCTCCAGATATCTCGCCATCGTCCACCCCTTGAAACCACGGATGAATTATCAAACAGCCACCTTCCTGATCGTGCTGGTCTGGATGGTGTCCATCCTCATCGCCATCCCATCTGCCTACTTCACCACAGAAACCATCCTTGTTATTGTCAAGAGCCAGGAAAAGATTTTCTGTGGGCAGATCTGGTCCGTGGACCAGCAACTCTACTACAAGTCCTACTTCCTCTTCATCTTTGGCTTGGAGTTCGTGGGCCCTGTTGTCACTATGACACTGTGCTATGCCAGGATCTCCCAGGAGCTCTGGTTCAAAGCCGTACCGGGGTTCCAGACCGAGCAGATCCGCAAGCGTCTGCGCTGCCGCCGCAAGACAGTCCTAGTGCTCATGTGCATCCTAACAGCCTACGTGCTGTGCTGGGCACCCTTCTATGGTCTCACCATCGTGCGAGACTTCTTCCCCACTGTGTTTGTGAAAGAGAAGCACTACCTTACTGCCTTCTATGTCGTTGAGTGCATCGCCATGAGCAACAGCATGATCAACACTGTTTGCTTCGTGACGGTCAAGCACAACACCATGAAGTACTTCAAGAAGATGATGTTGCTCCACTGGTATCCCTCCCCACATGGGAGCAAGTCCAGCGCTGACCTTGACCTCAAAACCAGCGGAGTGCCTGCCACTGAAGAGGTGGATTGTATCAGGCTAAAGTAACCTGCTAGTGCTGCACAACTGAGAACTCAACTCCAGTACTAAGAGAATCACACACTGTCACCCAAGTCCACCAGTTTTGTGAGAAAACACAACTGTGTTCGTGCTCTCCTGCCCTCAAGTAGCTGGATGCGTCTGTCACAACAAACAGCAGTTGGTGATTATTGCTATCTGCCTAGCAGCAATTGAGACTGAACACAGGTGGCAGCAACTGACATGGACTGAATGCCTTCTGTCAGCAAACCCTACCAAGAAATTATTCAGGAACAGGAGTTGACATTTGCTGATTACCCACTATGTGCAGAAACATTTAAAAACAAAACTAAATGGCAGAAGCTATTAGAGTTATCAGGCTATGTTTATCTATCTAGGGTTCTAGAAAGAGGTCACAGACGGTCAGCCAGACGTGCACTCTGTGTTCTCCTGTTCTATGTCGTATCTGCACATGAATGTCAATGGTAACAGAATAAGGCACTTAGACACAATAGAAATGTAAGGATAAGTTCATCAGTGTAGAGCCCACGGCCTCATAGGAAAAGTCTATACAGCACATTGACCTTCTCCAACCATCTCCTGAGATGCTCTGTACTTATGTACAATGGTGTAATTTCAAAGGAAAGAACCAAAACAGGTCTCCACCACCGATGTTTGAAATCTCAGCAGCCTACTGAGTAAACATGGGCAGTTTTGAAACATGAAACATATCCAGTTCCTGACACTTCAGTGCAAATGATTTCAGGGCTCTGAGATCAGGGAAGAAGTGGACAAACAGAGGCAGAGGTTGCCACTGGCAATGAATATAGTCTTTGTGGCCATTTCCTAAGATGAGGACCATTTCCTAGAACATACCCTCTCTTACAAAATTAGCTCTACTTATAAAGACTTGGGTTCAAGTCTTGAGTCCAGGACTCACGTGTCTCCATTTTGCTTTAATGAAATCGGAATAATGGAAGCATCTGTCTGCCTGCCACATGGGAGCACTGAGAAAGCCCACTGTGGTCACAGTATAGGAATATGATTTTCAAGCCTTCCTGTGTTAAGAATGTAAGTGATATTGAATACTTCACTTGAAGGAGTTTGTTTGAAAATGCCATTCACTGTGGTTCATTATGGTTCATCCCTTTCTTCGGACCAGAGACTGCTGAATTTATTTTAAAGTAGCACATCTACACTGGGGTGTAAAGGCCTGCTTGCCCCAGTACACAATCAAGGAGATGCAGCGCCCATATTCTCGGCAGCCCTGTGATCATAGACTTGACAGTCTTCCCAACGTGTCATCAGCACATCCTAGGGATGCATATCATTACTGAATCTGTTTGTTTTATATCTGTGGTGGTTGTGCTTATACATCCTCATCCCTTTCAGAGTTGTTCTGAAGCACAGACTGTACAAATGGTACCCAGTGTGAGACGAGCCCACCCATGTTTGGTCAACTCATAATTCTCTATAGAACAGAAATTGTTCAGTTGCTTGCTTTTGAGCTTTTAAAAAAAAAATGTGTGTCTGTGTGCTGGTGCCCTCATAGGCCAGAAGAGGGCATCATATCTGACAGTGCTGGAGTTACAGATAGTTGTGAGCCACCTGATGTGCATGCTGGGAACCAAACTCAGGTCCTCAACAAGAAAAAGCTCTAACCACTGAACCATCTTTCAGTTTGTTTGCCTTTTAGAACTCTTCAACAATGAAGTTCAACCAATTTTTGTCTATTACTATCACACAGTAGACTTACCTTCGACCCACTCATTGTACCTTCAGAAAATTCAGACTTACACCTGTAATCCAAATATCCAGGGAGCTGAGATAGCAGGATTATGAGTTTGAAGCCAACTTGGGTTACAACATAGTAAGACCTCCACCTCAAAAAGTGAAAAACAACAAATGAAAATAAAAATAAAGAAAATACAAATCCTTTGGGTGTGAGGGCGCACTGGGGAGGTAGAGGAAGAAGAATTCGAGTTCAAGACCAGCCTGGGCTGCATAGCAAGACCCTATCTCAAAACAAAAAACAAACAACAACAACAAAAAAAACCCAAGAATACACACACAAAGAAGAAAATACAAACTCATTTAATATCAGCCTATCAAAGTGATTTGCAAATTTTGGTTTTACAAAGTTGTACACTGCATTCCAATGTGTTTTTATTTAATACCCTATCTTGATTCTTCTTATCAGAAAACTCTTTAAGAGTAATAGATAGATGTGAGGGCGATCTGGCTGCAATACCTGTCTTTCATTGATCCCTAGGGTTGCTTCAGCTGATCTGGCTTCGCTAGTCAGGGGTCCCCTTCTTGCCTCACAACTCCATGTGTCCCTCCCTTACAATGCATCCTCAGTAGCAGAGGATGACTTTCCTTAAGGGAAGAGGACTGTTACTCTGTATGCTCTGTATGCTCTGTATGGGAGCATCTCTGCTTCTCTGCTAGAACCTCCAAACGAGCTCTCAAGCAGATCGCATATCAGTTGTCTGTCAAAACAATTCATCTCCCTTTTATCTTAAAATGTACCATCCATCTTTCATTTAAATTTAACTGAAAAAAACCTCCTGTAAATATCAATATGTATTTGTGATATTCCAGTGAATATAGTGTATGTTGTTATCAAACGGAATAATTAACATATGGGATTATAATCACAGTGTTCAAGTGATTCCCTGCTAATGTTTTATATCATCTTTATATATTTAGACATTAACAAAGCAGCAGACATCTCAGCATCTAACCCTGAAATGAGAAGGAATTTACCAAAGGCAGTTTTAGAGCAATGACAACCCCTACTAGCCTCTGATCTCATGTCTGTAATGTCTTTCAAGCTTGTATCTCAGGACTGTGTTCTTGAGTGTAAATTAGCAGAGAAACATTATCTTGTGTAAATGTTACCCCTTCATTTTACAAGGATTGTGTGTATGTGTGTGTGTGTGTATGTGTGTGTGTGTGTGTGTGTGTGCGCACGTGTCTATGTAATCTGTTTTTTTTGCATGGAGAATATACATGCTGCTAACTGGATAAGGTAATAAATTAATTACATTTGTGTTCACTCTTAGGACTAATTAATAGCAAGTTTAGATGATTTTAACATACTACAACGTATACACATTTATATCTATATTTGGTATATTTAGTAAATATTCATTTTCTTGACCACAATAAGAGAAAAGATTGTTATATAATGATGTCATACGTTTTCTTCAAATATCCAACATTTAAAATAAGTTGCTTCTAAAATTGGAGAAATTTTAAAAATGCTTTCAGGCCCTCAGGCATGAAAAACAGTTCCAGACTAAACAAAGAAGAATGTGGCACGTGGGAGGTGATTAGAAAACTTAACATGGCTCTGTTTCTACCAAAAATGGTGGCTCCAAACATCCTCTAAATCTAACCATATATCTCCCTTGAGTTTAAGAGGAGGAGTGCTCACATAGCACACAGACACACAGACACAGACACACACACACACAGACATACACACAGACACACAGATACACACACACACACACACACACACACACAGACAAACACACACACACACACAGATACACACACACACACACACACACACACACACACACACACACACACCAATAGGACACCAGGCCTTAGAAGGTTATTCCAACTCCTTTCTTAAGTAGGATCTGAATTCCAAGGAAGGAAATTACTTTCTAAGGGTCAGTTAGTACTTGCTGGAGCCAAAATATTGCCAAGATTTTAACTCTGGGTCAAGGAGCAGCATTCATGGCTGCATACTCCTGAGTCCAAAGACCTGGTACCAATTGGTTCCAGGTCCATACAGTCCATGAATATACAGAAACGTGTTTAAATCTCTAGATTGCATTACTTGTTCATTTTTTAAAAAATGGTTAGATTTCTGCATCCTGGAAGCCTTTGGTATACACTTAAGATCAACATGTGAGTGTGGGTTGTTAATGGGGCTTCTTTGTGAATAGTTGTTGGAAGTACATGCACCTATCTTCATCCAGAAAATGCTCAAAAAATAACATTCAGTTCTTGTTAATAAGTATTTCTTCAAAGGATTTCCCACAGGGCCTAGAGAGATGGCTCAGCAGTGAAGAGCATTGGCTGCTCTTGCAGAGGACCAGGGTTTGGTTCCCAGCACCCACATGGCAGCTAAAGATTGTCCATAACTCTAGTTCCAGGGGATCTGACACCCTCTTCTGACCTCCACGGGCATTGCATAACAGGGGTGCGCTTACATACATGTAGGCAAGACATTCATACACATAAAAATATAAAAATAAATAAACTTTTTTTAATGCTGGGTGTGGTGGCACACACCTTTAATCCCAGCACTTGGGAGGCAGAGGCAGGCAGATCTCTGTGAGTTCAAGGCCAGCCTGGTCTATATAGTGAGTTCCAGGACAGCTGGGGCTACAGGGAGACTGTCTCAAAAAGACCAAAAATAAATAAATTAACTTTTTAAAAAAGGGTTTTCCACAGTGTGTGTAATAGGTCTTTTTAATGTTCAGCCCCTTTTCTACATACATTTGAAAGTACTGCGTGTATAGCCTCGTAAGTTATTATGTATCTGTATATGTATGATCTCATTATTATAGGATTGCATGTTTGTGAATTTGCTAATGAACTAAAATTTACTTGTAACCCCCAAATCAGCACTTGTGAATCTTTTATAGTCCTTTGTGGAGATATTTTAGAGATCTGTTCCCGTTTCCACCAGAGGATGAACAAGCTGGCACCTCGCCCTCTTGTTTCGGCAATAAACAAGTAGTTGACAGATGTTCTAGTTTGGCTTCTTGTTGCTATGATAAAATACTGGCCAAAGCAAGTTGGGGAGGAAAGGGTTTATTTAACTTACAGGTTACATACAACCCATCATCAAGGGAAGCCAGGGCAGGAGTTCAAAGCAGGAACTGAAGCAGAGACTGTGGGAGAACACTATTTCCTGGCTTGCTCAGCTAGCTTTCTTTTTTATTTTTATTTTTATTTACTTTTTTATATTTTGGTCTTTTTGAGACAGGGTCTCCCTGGAACTCACTATGTAGACCAGGCTGGCCTTGAACTCACAAAAATCAGCCTGCCTCTGCCTCCCAAGTGCTGGGATTAAAGGTGTGTGCCACCCGGTCTCCAGCTTTCCTTTTTTTAAAAAAATGTTTTTACTTATTA